CAATTTCAATTTCAGACATGAATACAATTTTTATACACAGTAAACACTTTTTATAACCGTTAAAAACAACTAACGCAAATAAAAGTATGATGTTGCTCTATAGCCGGCACAAAAAAAATAAATTTGTTTAATCGTTATTCGGCGGGAAGTCTCGGGTTGTGTTGTTTACGTTGCAAATTGGCGGAAGTCGTGTATATCATAGTAGAATACATTGGGGGTCTGATATTTAAATAATTTTTATAATTTTATTTCATTCTTTAATAACAAATTACATAATAATCTTTAAATTCTAGAGAATAATCAATTTTTAATTAATATAAAATCAGAAAGGAGTGAAAACGAGGTCGCTAAAAAATAACTTTTTTAAATTTATTACAGTTTTCATTATTTATTATTTATTACTTTTCAGCAATTGTACAATACATTGTATATACGAGGTGTGTTTAAAAAGTAAGGTGACTTTTCAAATTTCACTGGCAACGTACTTTCGATTATCGATTTTTTGGTTTTGTTATGTTGGTACACTCTTCCCGAACATCTGTACCAAGTTTCAAGTGTATAGCATCTCTTGTTTGGTTGTGAGAGGCGTAAAGGTTATAAGTGTTTTGCGTGCTCGGCGATTTCTTGCTATCGAAAAATATGGATCAAAGGATTTGCATCAAATTTTGTGTAAAAAATAAAATAAAGTGCTCCGAAACACTTGAAATGTTGACGGTAGCATACGGTGAAACTGTTCTGAGTCAAAAAAATGTTTACAAGTGGTACAAAATCTTCCAAGATGGCCGGGAAGATGCCAAGACTCGCTCTGGACGCCCAAGGACGTCAACAACTGATGAAAACGTTCAAGCAATAAAGAAAATTGTTTTGCAAAATCGTCGAATCACTATCAGAGAAGTTGCTGAGAATGTTGGTATATCGCTTAGCTCGTGCCATGAAATTTTTTCTAACGTTTTGGACATGAGACGTGTGTCAGCGAAGTTTGTTCCGAAATTGCTAAATTTTGACCAAAAGAACCGTCGCATGAGCATCGCTCAAGAACTGTTGAATGACGTCAACGACGACCCAGATTTACTCAAAAGGGTCATAACTGGTGACGAATCATGAGTATATGGTTATGATATCGAAACCAAAGTCCAATCGTCCCAATGAAAGAGCCCGGATGAGCCAAGACCGAAAAAAGCACGCCAAGTTCGATCAAATGTCAAAGTTTTGCTCACTGTTTTCTTGGATTACCATGGCGTGGTGCATCAGGAGTTCTTACCATATGGACGTACGGTCAATAAGCAGTATTATCTTGAAGTTATGCGCCGTTTGCGAACAAGCAATACGAAGAAAACGCCCAGAATTGTGGAAAAACAAATCATGGCTTTTGCATCACGATAATGTCCCTGCTCACTCATCTTTGCTTGTGACAGATTTTTTGGCCAAAAACAACACTACAATCATGCCTCAGCCACCATATTCACCAGATTTGGCCCCATGTGACTTTTTCTTGTTCCCAAAACTAAAGAGACCTATGAAAGGACAGAGATTTGCAACGATTGAAGAGATAAAGAATGCATCGCTGGAAGAGCTCAAGGCTATACCGAAAAGTGCTTATGAGAAGTGCTTTGAGGATTGGAAAAACCGTTGGCATAAGTGTATTGTATCTGAGGGGGATTACTTTGAAGGGGACAACATAAATATTGATAAATAAATAAATATTTTTTTTAAAAAATACAAAGTCTCCTTACTTTTTGAACACACCTCGTATGTTCGCGCCGTTTGCGCTTCAAGGATAAGAGAGAGAGTGTGCATGTGTAAAACGATGCTTCGAGAGCAGAAAATAAAAAAAAAAAAAACAACCGACGATGGTTCGTAAATCATCACGAATGCCGCGCTGGCCTGCATGACGTCTGTTAGGAATGAACGCGATTAGAGGGTTACAGCACTTTTGTCCGTTCGCCTCAACAACCCGCGTTGCATATGTCTTTCGTCTGTTAAATAGCTCGAATTGCTGTCCGTTATTTATGATGTTTTTCAAAAATATAAGAGCGAAACACATGTACCAACACCGAGCAATTCTCGGTCTCAGCACGCTTGGGGAAACCTAAACTGCTTGATAACTGACGCGCGCCATAAAAATCGCTGGGTTCTGATTGGCCCACTGGGAATGGGCCCAAAGAGTAAGGAGAAGTTTTCCGTGCTTCCCTCGGTTCCCTCGATGACAAATCGAGTATAGTTAGGCAGTTCCGTTTGAACATTCATCAACTAAGCACGGCTAACTCTGCTTATCCTTGCCGGTGTGAATGTGCGCGAGCGCCGAGTTGCTTCTAAACTGTTAGGGGTTGAGTGTGTGATCATCATCGAGAGTAAGGGCCAATTGCGTTCGCTGGCGACGTCTGCGCGTCCCTGAGGTGTTGCCCGAGATTCAACTCTGCCCATCAGCTCGGCAACTTAGGTGTTACCGCAGTACGTCTGTGTGCCCGAGACGTCGAGGCTGCGGTGCGCCCGTGTGCGTGTGTGGGGCAACACCTTCCTTTCAAATCACCTGCGAGGACGAGTAAGTGTGAAATTTACCTGAATGGCCATTCAAGCGTGCAAAGCGTTATAGGCTCTGCGAGCCTCAATTGACCACTGATATATATATACATGTAATTATTTTATGACTCTCTCTACCTGCATTTACTGTGCCAATGTTATTCCGACGGCTAAATATAACGCATTCTTATTCATTATTTTTCTTTGAATAAATTACAGTCCCTAGTTACATTAAATCTCAGTGTATCTATTATAAATTGTACACACCTTCCCATCCTAATCTTGAACTCCCTTTTGTGTGTTATTTTATGAGACTTTTAATTAACATCTTATTTATTAGCATTGAATCTACAATATATAAATAACATTTTTTACATGCTAATATGCGAAAAGCATTTCCTTTTAAAATTCAAAATTCAGTGGAACCTTGGAACGAGCGGAATCGGAAAGAGCTCTTTCAGTGTACACACTGAAATTAGCTCCAGGGAGTCTTTTTTCGATACAAACAATGGAGACTGTCTCCATGATACTGTAATAACCCCACTCTTGCCGTTGGCGCGAACAATGAATAATTTGCATTTAGTTGTAAGCGCGTGATGAATTTGAACGTGACTCGATAAATAAGGAATGTGAGCGTTCATTGACCGACTTTATAATTTGGGTAGCGTGGAAAATTCAAATGAAAACAGAGATCAGTTATGCTTCAAACTGCCAATTGCTTTTTAATGACGTAAAATACAAGGAAAATTTAACAAGTTTCTCTCGTGAGGGCTCTGCTCTGACTGCCTTGTCGTTGTCCTGGAGCGTCCTCCTCGGCGCTCCCCTCTGTCACTTCCAAAGGGGTAGGTTTAGCATCAACACCTCCAAAGAGAGGGAAGAGTGAGAGTTTGTTTCGGCATCCAATCATTTGATGAAGTGGGCGTCATCCTTTCTTCGAGAAAGGCCTCGAAGACAGGGTGCAGTAAAAAGGAAAAGTTTTCGCGGCACGTTCGGACCTACGTGCTTCATCCTTTATTGCCGGATTAGAGCATTTTTTTCTGCTGTTTGCTCCGATGCTAATCTTGCGCTCGCAATTTGTCCAGGTGAGCAACATGTGTAGCGCAGACGTCGGCGCGCTCGAGTAGATGCCGTAGTCGAGATTGTAGTGCAATAAATCTTTCTTTATTCGTTTGTTTTTCCCTTTGAATATTCTTACTAAGCGTTGCATTTTCAAGTGACCATTTACACGTTTTCGCTTATATTATCGACGTTCATAAATCTCGCGGGTGTACATATGCTGTTTGCGCTTGCGCCTTATTTCATACCTGTCATATACATATGTTATAGACGCAACGTGACGTGTCCGTTCGTCACAATACAAACCATCGATGCCCAGCACTGCACCAGAGCCAACGAATACTAATAGAACAGAACAGAGTACTAGAGTAGATATGTTGGAAGAGTCAAGAGTGGAAGGAAAAGTTGCTGTGATTAATATTTGCAAATATTTTAATCTAATTCTAAATTTTATTCGTTAAATTTATTATAATTAGTTAAATGAGTTAATTTTAATTCGTATGGTTATAATTATGCTTAATCAATTAAATGATTGAGTAATTTACTATATAATTCTCAATTTTTAAAAGTTCCATTATTTATTATTTATAAAAACTGAAAATTTTCAATCATTCAGTGTGAAAATGAATTGTATTAAGTGTATAAAATATAGATCTGGCTTGAGACTTCATTTATTTGAAAATATGAATTACATTCATAATGGTATGACATTGCAAATCCAGACATCAAGTAAAAACTATTTGGCTAAATCACTTCAACTATATGAACAGTACAATAATAAAAATGATGAACAAAGTATTAGAAAATCTAATATTAATGAAAATTTGAAAGAAATTTGTCTTGCAGAAGATCTACTGAATGATTTCAAAACAAGCCAAATAGAACAAGGTTACAAAAATAGTATACTTACTAGAATTACTAAAAATGGTAAGTGAACATGTTTACTTTTGTTTATTCATTTTTAAAATAATATTCATTCTTTAGAGTCATTTTAATACATGCATACTCTGAAGCTGTAAACAATTTATTTTTACATATATATGAAAAACGTTCATTTATACTTGATTAGCATAATCAGAAATTATTTAATACATTTTATTTTATTATTTTTATTTTATTTCTGAATGTGAGTTTGGAAAAAACTATTGATGCGTTATTGATTTGAATTCAATTATTTTATCAGTTGCTAATATTATTTTTCAAATAACTTATTTAAATTCAACGATATTATTATTCGTATATGATTAATAACATTACAGATGGAAATAAAAAAATTAACAAATTAACTGAAGGTCCTAGTTTGAATGATTTTTTAAAAAGTCCAACACCTCTTATAAGTACACAAATACTATCAAAGAATGTTCCATATTTACCCGACAATGCTAAAGAAAGCATACAAAAAGGTAAAACAAAATGAGTTTTATTTCATTATTTTTTAATTTATAGTTTTATAAACTATAATATTTAATTTGTTTCAGTTTACATAGAGGTATATGGATGCCAAATGAATGTCAATGATGCTGAAATAATTTCGGCAATTTTGAAGAAAAGCAATTATGAAATAACACAGAAAATGATTGATGCAAATATTGTTTTACTAATAACATGCTCAATTAGAGACAGTGCAGAACAGAAAATATGGACTAAATTACATTTTCTGAAACATTTTAAGAGAAAAAGTAATGTTTCAAAAATTGGGCTTCTAGGTGATTTTATGCTACAAAATTTTTATACTTTTAAATCTGGCTTGCTCTACTAAAATTACATTATTTTAACTCAGGCTGTATGGCAGAGCGTTTGAAAAAAAAAATTATTGAAAAAGAAAAATTAGTTGATGTCATAGCTGGTCCAGATTGTTATAACGATTTGCCCAGGTTGTTAGCTATCAGTAATGAGCATGAAACTGCTATTAATGTAGCTTTATCATTTGACGAAACATATGCAGATGTTACACCTATTAGATTAAATCCAGATTCAAAAACTGCCTATGTGTAATTTATTTCTCAATTGTGTAAAATGATTCTACTTTTTTGTAAATCTGTGCAAATATAAATTTATTTTATTTTAGTTCTATAATGAGAGGCTGTGACAACATGTGTACATATTGTATAGTACCTTTCACTAGAGGCAGAGAAAGATCCCGACCAATAATTAGTATACTAGATGAAATAAAACATTTATCAGATCAGGGTGTTAAAGAGATTACTCTGCTGGGACAAAATGTCAATAGTTATAGAGATCTTACTGAATCAAATTTCAGTATCAATCATAAAAAAAAAACTAATCTTGCACATGGATTCAAAACTGTGTATAAAAATAAAGAAGGAGGATTGAGATTCTCTGATTTACTTGACAAAGTTTCACTATTAGATTCAGAAATGAGAATAAGGTTAACAACATATTTTTCAACTTTATGATTTTTACTAGTAATAATTAGTTAATAAAAGTAACGTTAACATTTCAGATTTACCTCTCCACATCCAAAAGATTTTCCTGATGAAGTTCTTCATTTGATTTCTGAACGACCAAATATTTGCAAACAAATTCATTTGCCTGCTCAAAGTGGTAGTACAGCAGTTTTGAATAGAATGAGAAGAGGCTATTCACGAGAAGCATATATAAATTTAGTGCATCACATTCGAAGTATTATTCCAGATGTAGCTTTTTCTAGTGATTTTATTGCTGGATTTTGTGACGAGACCGAAGAAGAATTTAGCGAAACTTTATCGCTCATAGAAGAAGTTAAATATAGTACAGCATACTTATTTGCCTATAGTATGCGAGAAGTAAGAAACTGAAAGTATTTATTTGATGTTTGAATAAATCAAATCTTCATAAATTGAATATTTATTATAATTTTAGAAAACTACTGCTCACCGACGCTATGTCGATAACGTTGACAAAGTTGTCAAACATGAGAGGCTTGTAAAAATGATACAATTATATAGAAAAGAAGTAGAAAAAATATACAAAAGTCAAATTGGGCAACAACAATTAATTTTAGTAGAAGGCGTAAGTTTTTTACAGATAACTAAATATGAATAAAAGAATTTATTGAGTATTAATAATTTATTATCTATCTTCAGGAAAGTAAACGTTCTATTAAAGATTTGCAAGGGCGAAATGATGGCAATATTAAAGTAATTTTTCCAAATGAATCGATACCAGTTAGTAAAACATCTACACATCATGAAAAAGTAAAAAAAGGAGATTACATTGTAGTACATGTGTGCAATGCAAATTCACAAATTTTAACAGCAATACCATTATATCATTCGTCCATAAGTGAATTCAATTCAGAAAATAGTTTTCATAATAAAATAATGTTTTAAAATTTCCAAAAAGTCATTTTGGTCTTTTGTTTTCTTAAAAATCTTTAAAAAAATGTTATAGATTTTACATTTTGAGATTTTTCAATGAATAATATAAATGGTAAAAGTTTTTTTCTATACTGAAAAGTAAGAAAGCATGACTCAGATCATGCTATAATTACGAATGGAGATTTTACAATGTAACTTGCAAATTTAATATATTTAAATTATATTTAAAATATTACAACAGTATATTCTGACAATAAATAAAAATCAGTGGTATCATGAAGCTGATTACATAGTATTTGATGTTACACTATATATACTAACTTTCTAACTATTTAAATTGAAATTATCTAATAACTAGATAACCTAATAATATGATTGTTAATTGTCTTTTGAATTTATAAAACTGGCTAAATGTATAAATTGTTAATATTTATAAATTTTAATTTACAGTAATCAAGTATTAATGCTATAGGCCGGGTACATGGCATCCTTATGAGAGAAGCTATTGATTTTTCCGCTTTATTCTAAGCTTTTTTACTTTAAGGAAGTTTCCTTGTTTACATAAATAATTACAGATCTTCGTAAAACTTCGAATTATAATATTTTTAAATATTCCGAACTCGCATGCGTTTTTTGGATAGACGTTTGGCTGCAGCCACACTCGTCCCGGATAGAGGAAGTGTCAGGGAATGCGCGGGAGATCACGTCAGACTTAAATTCTGCTTAGACCCTGAAAAATCTTTACTCCTTCTTTCAAATAGCGCAGTACAGCGACGTGCGAAAGCTCGCCCGCGTCGGGGGCCGTGAGCGTCACAAACAGGGCAAGCCTGCTTGGAAAGAGCGACTGACGTTTGGCTGAGCGGACGATGGTGTTCCTCGGCGGCGATGATGCGTCCTGTCGCGTCCTGGTAGCGGTTGTAGGCGATGACGAAGGCGTTCGGGTTGATGACGGACAGCAGTTCGATTGATGCGCTTCTTATGTATTGCGATGGGCGACCTTATATAGGCCGTCAGGCCGGAGTGTGATCGTATGAACCGCTTAGGGATGACCAGACTAACTGGATTATCTGGCCATCATCCCCCTAAGCCTCGCCCCCTAATCCGGCTAAATCAAACCGGAGACGCCTCTCCCGCCGCTAACCCAGGCCCGCAGGTGACGGCACCAACCGGGGCGCGACCGCCACAGACGTTATAAGACAAAAGGCAGAGTAATTAACAAAAATCAAAATATGCTTTAACATTTGCTCTTACAGAACAGCACTTCAAAGGCTTAATCAGAGATGTTAGAAATGACATAGGGATTATTTTTTTTATCATAGCAAATAGTACATTACGACACAAGTATTATTTGTAATACACATCCCATAGCTTGTGTTTTAATATCTTGCGGGTACTACTATACCGGCGGTATCGCCGACCAGTTGCCATGCGTTAGCGCGTGTCGATAACTCGAGTCACCACTAGATGGCAGTAGCCCTCTAAGGCACTTTGGGGGTCTTAGGAAGACTCGCGCACGAGCTCTCGGCGCGAACGGTCGTAATACGACTTGACGAGTAACAGTCTTTACTTTTCGAGTATACTCTCTCTCAAGTCTGAGTAAAGTTCATTAAGACCTCGTTCGGCCTCCTTCCCTGCCTCTCGGACGTAAGGAAAACGATAGTGAACAACAGAATTAATAGCCAACTCAAGCAAAAAGTTGCAACCTTACACATGCTCCCGGCTTCGTCAGCCGGGCAGCATTCCAAGATGGACGGCTCAGGCGATAGAGACACCGCTCGGTATACCGAGACGCCCAAACCTCCAGATCCGATGGATATTGACAAAAATCTGAAGAGAACACGAGACGATAATTACGAAGAATCTATAGAACAACTCACAAATGCCAAAAAGCACAACAGACAGGAAGGAATTCCTCCCCAAAGAAAAAATGCTGAACACGGTAAGCCTGCAGACAAAGACAGTGCGACGCATGCGCGTCCTGAAAATCCAGGATATTCAAATGCACACAAAGGCCCATTTCACGTTTGGGTCAAATACAGTCTCTCGACTGATAAGCCTTTCGACATCTACAAAATAGGAAAGATTGTTGTAAATAAATACCGCACGGTAATTGAGGTTAAAAGAGACGGCAGGTCCAAGGGCCTAATTATTTTCCGCGACAGAGAGGAAGCCAATCGTTCTCTAAACGACACTGCATTTAATGATAATGGTCTTTCTACTTTTATACCAGGCTTCAAAAAAATCCGAAAAGGTGTCTTGAAAGGAATCCCAGTCGACTACGACACAAAAGAGCTACACGGCGCAATCGAATGTGAGAGCAAAGTCATAGAAGTCACAAGGCTAAATACAAGGAACAGACAAGCTACAGATGACGACGACAAGTGGCTGCCTACAACATCTGTGTTGGTCAGCTTTGAAACTGGCTCCCTGCCCGCTGAAGTTAAAATCTACAATGTCATCACAAAAGTGACACCTTACGTGAGGAAAGTCATGCAGTGCCTGAATTGTTTCAAATTCGGCCACTATGCAAACAAGTGTCGAGGCAAAAAAAGGTGCTCCATGTGCGGTGAGACCGATCACCCAAACGAAGCTTGTCAAGGTTTTTTTCCTAGATGTGCCAACTGTAAGGAATCACACAAATCCAACAACAGAGACTGTAAGATTTTCAAAATGCACGCTTTCGTTAATGAAAAAATGGCTTTTGAAAATATATCTTACTACGAGGCGAAACAATTAGTTTTTGGTTCTCCTACAGGTCCTTTGAACACAAAAGAATCTTTTCCTGGTCTGGCCAGGAAAGTCAACGCTAAGAAATCCTTTGCTTCCACTGCTAGGATCACCAAACCTCTGCCCGAAGAAAACCCAAGCACGATGGGAAACTCAGCATTAAGCGCTGAAGGCACAACAAATTCCAAATGTCGGTCAGTAGTTTCTGGAACAGAAACTCAATCTCAATATTCTCAATTATCTCAAGACATCGAACATCAAGAACCATTACATCTAAAACAAATTTCACACCAGGTCCCAGCTTTATCATCCTTACATCTTCAATCAGAAAATATACTGCTCCAATCTCAACAACAACAACAGCAACAACAAGAGGATACCAAAGTACAACAACAGCAGTCACAGAAAACTAACATTACGCAACCACAGCTACAAAGTCGTGAGAATCAACCCCAGGAACCTTCAATGACGGATAAACTAATACATAGATTTGAAATCCCAAGAAACTCAAAGGATTACGTAAAAACTTATGGCAAAAATTCTGTCAACCCTACGACAAACAAAACTCAAATTCCTAAGAAAAATGGGAAAAAATAGGATATCCACTATCCGATTAGAATTTTTTAGAATTTTTTATATACAAAAGTTCAGCTTTAACTCAATTTAATCATCTTTTCAATATGGATAATTCATTCCAAAAACTAAAAATGCTTCAATGGAATTGTCGTAGTGTTGGCAAAAAATATAATTTTTTTAACGAGGCATATAAGTACGATATAATACTGTTAATCGAAACATGGTTAGACAATACCAAATCATTTAAGTTGAAAGGTTTTAACACCATTAGATTTGACCGAAAAGCTGGCGAAGGTGGCGGTATAGCCATTCTTGTAAAAGAAAACATATTTTATGACATAGCAGAAATTGAATATACGGGTAAAGTATTTGAAACTGGATCTGTGATAGTTAAAACTAACTCCGAAAAATTGTTAATTATGGCGTGTTACAGACCTCAGCAAGTAAACAAAGCTCAAAACAATTTAACCTCCGGTGAATGGAACAACTTTATAGAATCAATTATTAATCACGACTCCACATATTTTATTGTAGGAGGAGATTTCAATGCCCACCACTCCCTTTGGGGTAGTGATAAACATTGCCCCAATGGCAATATCATTGCCGACAGTTTGAATTATGAAGACCTTTGTTTACTTAATGATAATAGTTCTACTCATTTTACACTTTCAAACTCAGGCTATTCCACCTCATGCATTGACCTGACTTTTTGCTCGCCGAACCTTTTTTCCAAAAGCCACTGGCACGTCACTGATGACAGTTGGAGAAGTGACCACTACCCTATTAGTATCGAGTTTAACGTAAAATTATCATACCAACACCGAGTAAACTATAGATATAATATGAAAAGACTAAATTGGGAAAAATTTTACAGAGTTTTAGAAGAAAAAAGGTCATATTTCAATAGCATTGACTTTACCAATCACAATGTTATTTAAAGATATAAGTTATTTTCTGATTTTCTAGATTGCTCAATAAGAGATTGCCTAGCTTGCAAATCCAACAAATCCCATCAGGATGATAAAAACATTTCTCTGCAAAACAAATATAAAAAAACGGGTCACAAATGCATCTGGTGGAACGACCTTTGCGACAAAGTAACGAGACAAAAAAAAGCTGCGATAAAGTCAATTAGCTATAGGTACACGTTAGAAAAATTCATAGAGGTTAACAGACTCGATGCCAACTTGACTAAAACTCTGCGAGAAGAGAAAAAAAAATCCTTCGATTCATTCTGTGCTAAAGTCAATCCAAGGACAAGGCCCTATGATTTTTGGAGAACGGTTCATATATTTAATAACAGTTTCAAAGAAATAGATGTGCAATCAGGGAACATTAAAACTGAATCGAATATGATAGATTTAATTGACGAACTCAGTTCTCCTAAAACTATAGGCACCAACGCCTTGGACGACTTGAATAATTTGAGTGGCGATAATGGCCAGGATAATGATGCTAAAGTCTTAGACAACCCATTTTCTTACGAAGAGCTCCAATACGTCTTGAACAGCGTCAATGTAAAATCTGCGCCCGGGCTGGACAAAATAACATACGAAATTATAGCTGAATTACCGGAATTCTACCAGAGAGTTTTGCTCGATTTATACAATGACATTTTCCACCACCAAACATTCCCGGAGGATTGGAATAACTATTTAGTTATATTCATTCCTAAGGGTAAATCTAACAAAGTCAGACCTATCTCCCTGGCCTCGTGTATGTTAAAGATTATGGAGAAACTAATAAAAGAAAGGCTCCAATGGTGGCTGGAAAAGCATGACGTTTTGTCTCCATCTCAATTCGGATTTCGGAAAAACAAATCTTGCATAGATAACCTAAGCATTCTTACCTCAGACATTCAAAAAAACTTTTTCACTAAAAACACAACTACAGCACTATTTCTCGACGTTAAAGGCGCATACAATGACGTTGTTCCAGACATTATAATTGATGATCTCATTGAAATCGGCCTTACAAAAAAGATCATTGTGTTTATAAAAAACTTAATTTTTGAAAGAAAAGTTACATTTTGCACCTTCACGAAAATTATAGAAAAAATAGTAAACAAAGGGTTACCCCAAGGTAGCGTACTCAGCTGCTTACTTTATGCAATTTATACTAGGAAAATAAACCAAATTATTAAAAAACCTCTAGCCGTATTGGAATTTGCTGACGATGTGGTTGTCTATAACAACTTTAAATCTGATTGTGTAGATCAAGTTGGCATCCTTGAAGAAGGGGTCCGTGACGTCGTTACCCTTTTGAAAAACAGAGGTCTAGCGGTCGCTCGTGACAAATGCATATTGATGGTTTTCGAAAATTCGAGGAAACGAACCGATGAAGGTATAGAGCTAAAAATTGATGATGCGATCATAGAACCGTCCGAAGATGTCAAATTTTTAGGGATGATCCTAGATCGTCGCCTTACTTGGCGCAAACATGTAGACAACTTGATTCGTAGATGTAAATTTAGTCTCAGGATATTAAGTTTTTTAAGATCCACCTGGTGGGGTGCGGATCCGAGGTCTCTGCTTTTGTTATATACTGCCCTGATAAGATTAAAAATAGAATACGGAGGATTTATTATGTCTCCCTGCAATGACAAACTTTTTAAAAAACTACAAAAGCTACAAAATTCAGCTCTCAGAATAGCTATGGGATACATGAATAGTACTCCAATTAACGTAATGATTGCCGAATCTAAAATCCCGTATTTGCAAAACAGAATCGAATTTAATTGCCTAAAATACATCCTAAAATGCATGGCCTCCAATCAAACGAAAATCATTAATAACCTCGAAGATATAATCCAACTCGCTGACTATTTCTCTGTTCACAATAATTTCAAAATTTCACTCATGGCCAAAAGCTACGACAAAATCTGGTTTTTAAGGGATTCCATTATTAGTACGCAAAAACATATGAGGTATACTCGAGACTATAATTACCTGCTATATAAATCAAACATTTTTACAGATTTTTCTAAAAAAATACCTGAAGGAGAAGATCCAAATAAATTTTTTAACGATATGTACCCTGTAGACAAAAATAATACCTACATTTTCACGGACGGTTCTAAACTAGATGAAAACGACAAATCATTTGTCGGTTTTGCGTCTTGGAGCAAGGCTCCCGAATTTTGTATATCAAAACGTATATTAGATTCAGCATCCATTTTTACAGCTGAATGCTCTGCTTTAATCACTGTTATCCAAAGAATAATCGAAATAGGTCATGGGAACTACACTATTTTCTCCGACTCGGAAAGTGCACTTAAAGCTATAAATTCAGACCGCTGTGATTCTCCCCTTATAATTGATCTAAAGTGTAAACTCGCCTATGCGCATATTGTTAATATAGACATTAAGTTAGTTAGAATACCTGCACACGTGGGAGTGCAAGGTAATGAAATAGTCGATTCCCTAGCCAAAGATGCAGCCAAAAATGGGGTATTATTGGACAATCCAATACCCGTTTCGGACTTTTTCTCCAAATATAAGAAAGAATATAAAAAGGAAAATGAGAACTTGGCTCTCCAGTTAAGCTCTACAAAGGGTACTTTCTACTTTAAAAATTTTTACAGAGATCAAGCCAAACCCTGGTTTTTTGATCTAGGGCTACCAAGAAAAGCCATTGTATCTATAAATAGAATTAGAAGTAATCATTCATCTCTGAATAGTAGCTTATTCCGCAAAGACATAGTACTAAATAAAAACTGCGAATGTAACTCATCTGAAGACTCGGTAGAACACATTTTTTGGGAATGCGAACTGACACACCTTCCGAGGAAAAAACTCCTCAAGGAAATTAGAAAAATGTATAAATATGGACCATACTCCGCTATATCCTTATTAGCGTCTAACGATAAAAATGTTATCGGTGCTATAGCTGAATTTCTAGAAATCATAAAAATAAAAGTATAATGATTTAGCTCTAATTATTTAACTTAACCGAATACCTTTGTAGCACGAACCTACTTAGACAATTACATGTAAATTCTCTTTGTATATATTATTAATATTAATAATTAATAATTTTATATTTTTATAAGCGTTTATATACAACTTAAATGTTAAAGATATTACAATTGTATTGCGCGCCCTCCTGAAGGCATATTTCTATGTATCATGGCAATGTAACATACGTTGAGCCAATAAAGTTTCCATTAAGTTAAGTGGGGGTCTTAGGGGATCGTGTCGTGGAGTGCGAGTAACAACGCTTTACAAAGTTTTATAGAATCAATCAATTTTACTTTTATCAGGGTAGGGTTCATCCCACCCGTGGTACAGTGATTTTTTTTTCTTCTCTGGTTTTTCCGTTAACTCTGTGACTCGATCCCGAACGAATTGTGCCCGGGCGTGCTCGGAGTACGACTAACCTCCTCTGAGACGTCTTTACGCTTCCCCTGCCAATATGGCGGGCGACACTGAAATTTCTCCGATGGACACTGAGAACACTATAAAGGTAAATTCTAGAAAGAGAGGTGCCGATAATCCTACGGATAATGTCAACAAAGTAGTCGTGATAGAGAATACGGAAGTCGTTAAGACACCTTCACAGACTAGCACTAGGCAGACGGCACAAAGACCGCCACGGAAACTGCTTTATTCAGGAAAGACAACAAGGGTCCATACGGCGTATGGATTAAGAAACTGACGGATGACAAGTCAGTGCTCAGTGCCTATAAAGTTGGAAGCATTTTGTTCAAGAAGTATAAAAATATTACTATCAAAAATAAAGGCCATTTCAATGTTGAAGTCATTTTCAAGAATTTAGAAGAAGCCAATAAGCTTTTAAAAGATGACTCACTCAAACAACTTAATTAGGACGCTTTTATCCCTTTTAAACAGTTCAGACAAGGAATTATCAGAAGAATACCGACCGAAATTTCTGAAAGTGAAATAAGAGAAGGCCTTAAATCAGAAGCCATTATCACCGAGGTAAGAAGACTGAACAGAAGAAACAAAAGGGCTACGGGTGAAGATGACAAGTGGATCAAATTGCAAACTGTATTACTAACTTTCTCAGGACAGATTTTACCCAAAGAAGTTTTTCTTTTCTGTGTGAAATCTGAGGTTGAGCCTTACGTCCGCAGACCCATGCAATGTTTCGACTGCTTCAAGTTCAGCCATACTGCTAAATCATGTAAGGGTAAGAAAAAATGTATTATGTGCGGCTCGGATAATCACGGCGACGATTGCAAAGACACTTGTTCTGCAAATTCACCCAGCTACGCTAACTGTAAAGGCAATCACAAAAGTATCGATACACAATGCCCTGTTTATGAAAAGTATTACAGAGTAAATATACTTATGGCTCATGATAACTTGTCATTTGTCGAGGCAAAAAAAATTATATTCGAAGAATCAACTCCACCAGCAAGGACTAAAGAGCACTATCCGACGATCGATGAAAGTAAGCGTAGAGAGCATGTCCTCTCAAAGTCTAATTCCAACGAAGACAGTATACAAGTCCCTAGCGGCAAATCACTGCAGAAGACCAATCTACAAACTCTAAATACGACTTTCGAAGAAGACCTAAAAAAGAGTAATGACTCTCTCAACTCTATGAAGACGACTGTGACAAATAGCCAAAGAGATTCTCCAGCTCCAACTCAACCTCATTTGACTAATACCATTACTAAACTAAAGAATAGGCTAATGGAGGCTAGTAGCAGCAGTGGCAGCAGCGGCATCAACAGCAGCAGCAATTACTCCAAGCGTACCCAAGCAGTCAACACCAACAATACCATTAGGCAAACTTATTCTCGCAGTAACAAGAAATAATACTAATTTTATTTTTTCTTCAATTACGATCTACAATTGCAATTTTTTTTTTCTTTTTTTTATCTCAACTATATACTATTTCAAGATAATTATTTTAATACATATCTATAATGGATAAAACGAATAACTTCAAAATCTTACAATGGAATTGTAGATCGATCACAACAAAACTTTCTTTACACAAATATGCTTACGAATACGACATTATCACCACTTGCGAAACTTGGCTTAAAGATAATAAAAAATTTTCATTAACAGGATTTAATACTCTTAGGTTAGACAGGATATCTGATCAAGGGGAAGGCTTGGCATTCTTTATAAAGGAAGATATAATATATCAGGAAGTCAACATCAATGTTAATTTAAATAACATAGAATTACAAGCAATTTCTGTTTCATCTGGTTTAGGTGAATTGATAATTGTATCTTGTTATAGATCGCCGAAACAAGGCAACGACTTAAAGAGTAACGAGTGGTTAACATTAATATATATATATATATATATATAGATGAACTTAAAAATTTTAATTCGTTTATTCTACTTGGGGACTTCAATGCCCATCACCCCCTGTGAGATAGTAAATCATTCTGCCGTAATAGCAATATTATATTCGACAAGTTTTTCCTTTTGAACAATGGTAAGCCTACTCGTGCGGCGTTGTCTGACAAAGGTCTTAACTTAACAAATATAGACTTAACTTTTGTATCAATGAATTTGTCCTTTGTGACAAGCTGGTCAGTCCTCGAGGATTCCTGGGGGAGTGATCATTATCCAATCGAAATATCTATCAACTTGAAGTTAGAAGAAAAATATAGAGCTAATTATCGCAAAAATTTGAATAAAATTCTTGACGATGGAAAATCGATATTTAACAATTTAGTTTTCATTAATGAACCAGCCGCTAGTAGATATAATATATTTTTAGACTTTTTATACGACGCTTTAAGTGAATCCGGCCCTAAGAAAATCTCGAGGTCTGATAAGCCTTTTAAACGTAAGTGTTCCGTTGTGACGGAATTTGTATGTGTGTGCGTGCGCCAGAGTGAATGCGCATGGGTGAGTTCGCATAAGCGCGACAGTTTAATGACGCTATGTGACAGTACTTTTCCGGTCTCGTGAGAATTGCCGCGAAAAGAAAGTAGTACTCGTGCTGACACCGGTAAAACCGCACGTGTTCGCCTTGCACTCAAGGACTTTTCGGTATTACCCCAGTAGCCCTCACAAAGATGCAAATCAACGTATTGCGCAACCCTTTCGATTCATTTCTCCGAGTTACCGCTCAAAGAATTATGTGATAAATCGAGTGTCCAACGAGTGCATGAATGTATGAGATTCGTTAACCTAAACACATCCTGCCCAGTGCAGTCTTTATTCGCGCCTTTCCGAGCTGTCGAAAAATCTCATTGCCTTTCGTAGGCAATTTTAGCGATCTCCTCAACGGTGCGCTTTTTAACGGCATTGGACGATTGTTGCACGATCGCCTCAACGGTGCGTCAACGCCTCCTTTGTTCGCAAAATCGAGTGTGTGTGTGTGTGTGTGTGTGTGTGTGTGTGTGTGTGTGTGTGTGTGTGTGTGTGTGTGTGTGTGTGTGTGTGTGATTGTAGTGCGCGTCACTTTTCCCTTTCTCAACTCTTTCTTTTTCTCTTTTTTTTGTATTAGAACGTTGTATCTCGCTTTTTGTTTTCTTTTATTAAATATGGGTTTTTTATGCCTTTAGGCTTTTTCCCATCAGAAAAAGGTTTGTTTTAATCATTAAATTACCCTTCCTTTTCAAATAAAAATCAGCGTCTATGCCATCTAGGGCATGATAGCTTCTCAAAATTATTCAGTAAGAGAATAGTTAGAAGATGCATTTGGTGGAATGAAAATTGTGAAAAAATCAATCGCTTACGTAATGCATCCTTCAGGTCTGTACATTATAGATGTAATCTAGAGTCGTTTATTAATCATAAGAAACTAGAAGCGCAAACTATTAGAACTCTCAAAGAAGAAAAAATGAAATCCTTTCATAATTTTTGTATATCGATTAATAGAAATGTTAGAATAGCTGATGTCTGGAAGAAAATCAAGGCTTTTAAAAATGGTTTAGATAGACCCACCTCTTTAAACGGCAATAAATCGGTCCTGAAAAATGCTCAAATTTGTCTGAACGAGCTTTGCTCACCTAAAGATATAAGTTTATGCCCTCATGAAAATATTTCATATTTCATTGATTATCACTATTCAAATACTAATAACAATCCCCATGTCATGGATCATCCCTTTTCTTATGAAGAACTCGATACTGCCTTACACTCAGCTAATACTAAATCAGCCCCTGGAACAGATAAAATTAGTTACAAACTTCTAATACTCCTACCGGAATTTTACAAAAGACTCTTACTAGACACATTTAACGACTTTTTCAATCAAGGTATTTTTCCAGAGAATTGGTCTAAATATCTTATCACTTTCCATCCTAAAAACAATAGTAATAAAGTACGGTCGGTTTCAATGGCTTTTTGCATTCTCAAAACATTCGAAAAAATGATCGACAATTGCCTGATTTACTGGCTAGAGAACAATAATATTTTCTCCTCTTCGCAATTTGGATTCCGTAAAGGGAAATCTTGTGCCGACAACCTCTCCATTTTAACGACCCACATTCACAGGACATTCTTTGAAAAAAAAAATGCCTAGCGGCCTTCTTTCTGGATATTAAAGGCGCCTTTCATGAGATGATACCCGACATACTTATCAATGATTTAATTAATTTAGGATTGCCCATAAAATTCGTGGTATTCATCAAATTCCTCATTTTTGAAAGAGTTCTCATTCCATTAAACACCAATGACTGCATTTTGTATCTGGTAAATAAAGGTCTCCCTCAAGGAAGTGTTCTTAGCTCTATACTTTATGCAATTTATACAAGACAATTGAAATCACTTCTTCAACCAGACATCGAAATCTTGGAGTGTGCAGATGACGTAATCTTTTTTACTCAATGCGACAAGCCAGTTCAGGGTGCTGAAAAATTAAAAAACACTATAGATACAGTTATGTCCTTTCTCAAGGGCAGAGGCTTAGAACTTGCCCTTCAAAAATGTGATCTAATGTTCTTCAATAAAAACAATATAGACACTAATTGCATTTCTT